CAGTCTAAGAATGTACAAAAAATGTCAAGACGGATTTTGTGACAGAGAAGATGATATGCTGAATAACGAAAGGACTAAAAATGTAGCCATTATTTTCGATAAGCTAATGCCAAGTGACACAATTCTTCCATGAACAGATTTTATGGCACATATTATCATATTTCCGAAACTCTAGGAGAAAGTAAAATTTAACCTGAGAGGCTAAAGCCCTGAATCGCGATATTATTCTTTATCCGACTACTGCAGGTAAAGTTCTGGAAAAGCACTCAATCGCAATCCGGGTGTTTATCCACGGGTTCAAAGTTCCAAAAAACGAGCAGAGAAACAGCAGCAAATATCGAGGCATCTCTCCGCTTAGCCTACATGATAAAGTCTAAGCCAAGTGCTTGGAAAAAAAACTATCGAGGGACGAGAAAGCAGCAGATTTAGTTAGAGCAACGTGGCTTCCCTCTTGGCCGCATTGCTACAAATTGTGCCTTTGCTTTCCGTCATATCTGCAACAATTGCAAAGAATGTATGAAAAAGTATTTGCCTACTTCACAGAAATTTAAAAGGTTAGGAACATAGAGTTCACATCAAAGTTATGGATAGTAAGACAAGAGTATGGGCTGGATAAACAGATACTGCGATCATCAGGTATTTATGGCTCGGAATTCTTTATTCAGATAAAGATAACAGGATTGTGCTGGCATGTCCTTTCAGGTGAGTGCCACACCCCGCAAAGGGGCTTTGATGTTTCTTCTCCTGCTCATAATTTTCACGGACTGGATCTGCAGACGCGTAAAGCGTATCAGCTGCACTGACGCGACTGAACCTCTTGCTGCTTGCAAAAAATCTCATAATGTTAGCTTCATCCGGTGATGATCTCCAGAGCGCATTTCACCGTTATATTGCTACAGACACTGACCGATGCTGTGAATCGCCCTGACCAAACCAAGTCTTCTACATTCCCAAGAAAGACCATGCAATTTGCTGTACGGGTACGCTGAGGTGCGATAACAGGCGCCTCAGAAGTTTCTGAACATAAATGGACTAAGCAAATTATGTGTCCAGAGCAACGAAATTATGCTAAATTTAGAAGAAAATAATGCAACTCTACTTCCTAACTGATGAACAGCTAGTGTTGGAAAGAACTAAAATGGAGGCAGTGGGTAGAAGGAAACCTCTACACATCCAACACAACAGCAGTGCTCATCGGAAAAAGCCATTGTCGTCGGTTGAAAGAATAAGATTCCAGAACGCGCCACAATTAGGAAGGCTTTTAAGCCTTGCATTAAATTCGTCGTTACTTGCATCATGAGAGAGTACTTTCTAACGAAAAGCCACAGCGTGGTGGTGAGTAATAAACTACGGCAACGTCAGTGACGGACTGTGGGCTGGAAGTCTCTATTAATTTCAGCTGGCTTTTAAGTAAACAATGGATTATTGCAAAGCAGGTCTGACGGCATAAATCAGGACAGCGATTTTCAAAGATTTAAATATCAGCCTAACCTCAGCATGTTATCTGACTTGACAGATGTTCTCCTGAGCAGATCAGTGTCAATCCCGAGAAATTACGACTAGCCAGTGTCAGCTATTGAGTGCGAAATATCGAATTTCACTGGCAGTGCCATTTTAGACGAACGTTCTGGCTCGTGTGTTGAGAATTTTCCATATAAAGTACTTCTTTAGTCTCTAACGATCTAAATCTCATGATGAAATACCAGCGCGAAAGAAACTTAATGCTTATGATCACTTGCATTTTTTGGAAATCTTGAGGTTTCCCATTTTTGAAATATAACAGCCGTTGTGGTCGATTGAAGACTTTCACATTTGGCAAATTCAGTCTATGCGTTTAATAAGTGGTTTACATGTGATGATATTTGATAGTTATTCGTACGCCGTGCTACGTTAATCTCATAAACTGAAAAGATAAGATGAAACTGTAAGGCAAACCAAAAGGTTGCAACCAGAAGATGCTAGAAATGGAAGAAGGTGGAACTTATTCTTGGTTCCGGTAACTCACCCCTTCGCTTTCCCCCAAGTGACTTGAGAAAATATTTCTGTTCTGACCGATCAGCTGTCAAACCATAAAAGAGACGACAAACTTCAGAAAGCCTCAGCTTAGCTTAGCAAGGGAGTGTTATAGCAAACCTTGTTGGAAGGGCCTACAGTAGCACCCAGCGGGAAAACGATTGCACTGCCTTAAAATCTTTTTGTCATGAGTCTATGATAATTTTTGAGAATTGAGCAAATGGCCAATGAAAAGGCAGCGACAAGTCGTGCGAAAGATTTTATTCAACATCAGATCAAATTTAGATGCATTTTCCGACTGTTTAGGGCCTATAAGAACAATTTATCGCTTGATCAAACGTAGTGTATCAAGTACACATTAACAAGGGAAAGTTAAAATTTGTCCTTTATATACAGTACTTTATTCCCTGTCCTCTTCGTTCACCAACCAATGCTTGTACGACGAACTTGTATTTTTCGTAATCCAGCTCTAACACAGTTGCGCCATTAATCAACGACAGCAAGCTGATTGCAGTACTTACCTGTAAGTTTTCTTCGTATTTCTTCTGCAAGAGTCCTGGACATTTCTGATAGCTGTTCCCCTTTTAAACAGTTCTCACTGACGGTTGCAACTGCTGCGATCATAGTTTCCCGCAGCAACTGCTTAACCACATTCGGTCGGAATCTAGGCTCATAGTCGCGTAACTGTAAACCGAAACATTGCATTCAATTTACTTTCTCTGGAAATTGGGTCTTAGATTGTATTCAGCCAACTCGTTGGACATTTTACTCCTAAATCGAAACAGTAGTGTTTATCAGCAGTTGCCATGGAAACGATATGAAGGCTGTTTTGTGTCTTAAGTGCAAATGCAATCGAATGTTCGATGTATTAACCGCGAAATGGCTGATTGAAAGGCTGAGAGATAATCGAAGCTGCTAACTGGAGGCAGCACTTTTTATGCTCACCAAAGCATTTGCTATCTTTGATATGTGTTTACACGTTCATCGTCTCGAGTCACGAAATGCGTCTATGTGAATCTTCAAATAACGCAAAACTCATTTAAGACAGATTTCACAGCTACTCTTAGGTATCTAGGAGCAAAGGGGCGTTGCAATATCTCGTTAAATATGTTCTTGGAAGAGTTATACTTTATTTAACATACTGCGTCGACCAATATGTTATGACATATGAAGCTCGACAACATTGGTATTAGTCATCCTTCATTCGTTGTTTCTTGAGAAACTAAAGACTGCTGAAAATGCGTGTTTTCTTGGTAGTGGAAAAACTTCTAATGTACATTTTTTCAAGTTACCACGGCTGCTATTGAAGCTTCTTTCTCAGTACAAATAACAGATGTAGCATTGCACATTGTAATATCATATGAGAAGAAACAAAAACAAGGTTGCAACTTTATTTTGTAATGAAAATGAACTAACGTTTTGTTTGAAGGAATTTCAGCATATTATCATTAACTGCAACGAGTAGCGTTTCCTTGGCTAAAGCCATATCAGCTGTAAGTACTTCATGACACATATAAATCAATTAAAGCTTTCGTACATTAAACAGCAGTGAACAGGAAATCAGATGGGAAAGACAAAAGATCCAAACCGCGAAAATCATTTATCAGTGTAATCTAGCTCTAATTCACTTTTCACCATAAGATTCTCTGTTTTCTTGCAACCAAACCACCAGTCACCAATCCAGCGAGGATATCCAGGCAATGCCTGAAAAAATCAGTTGCGTTCTGAAATGTGCCAATAAATTATCGAAGGACGCATGAAAGAAACAGATCGTAATAAAATATGTAATTGTAATAAAAGCAAATCTCCGCCATTGCCGATCCCAAGCCCGGATGAGAAACGAGGAGGGTTGGAAACCGTGGCAAGTCTGCGTAAAATCCAGCCACCTGCCAA